CCCCCCCCCCCCCCCGGAGTGTCCTCTTTTTTGAAAGTTCAAATATGGTAACCCTAGTTTAGCCAGCATGGATGAGAATAGTGACTTCAATAAGTGATAGCTCTTTATGATCTGTAACATTACTCTTCCAAGTCTGAGGGAACTGGGATTATTTAGTCTGCAGAAGAGAAGAATGAGGGGGGATTTGATAGCAGCCTTCAACTACGTGAAAGGGGGTTCCAAAGAAGATGGATCTAGACTGTTCTCAGTGGTAGCAGATGACAGAACAAGGAATAATGGTCTCAAGTTGCAGTGGGAGAGGTTTAGGTTGGATATTAGGAAAAACCTTTTCACTAGGAGTGTGGTGAAGCACTGGAATGGGTTACCCTAGGAAAGTGGTGGAATCTCCTTCCTTAGAGGTTTTTAAGGTCAGGCTTGACAAAGCCCTGGCTGGGATGATTTAGTTGAGGATTGGTCCTGCTTTGAGTAGGGAGTTGGACTAGATACCTCCTGACGTCCCTTCCAACCCTGATATTCTATGATTCTATGAATGTCCGGCGTGGCAGACATGGTGCAGGAAGGGCTAGACCTCTCGACTTGAGCTGGGGCCCGACTCCCTGACAGAGGTGTTGAGCTGCCCAACACAGGTCTTAGCTCTCCTCCAGCCCTCCCCTTTCCCTTACGGGAAGAGGAGGTTACTCACCCTGTGCAGTAACTGACGTACTTTGAGATGAGTGTCCCTGTGGGTGCTCCACTTCAGGTCAAGGTGCGTCCCAGCACCTTCGATCGGAGATTTCTACACCAGTACCCCTACGGGCCGTGCACGCGCTGTGTCTGCCTCTCAAGCTGTCAGTGTTTGAATAGCACGTGCATGGCCTGGGCTCCTCAGTTCCTCCTTTACAATGGAGTGCGTTCCGAATTCCGAAGTAGAGGGGAAGAGGGCAGGTAGTGGAGCACCCACAGGGACACTCATCTCGAAGAACATCAGTTACTGCACAGGGTGAGTAACCTCCTCTTCTTCTGCGAGAGATGTCCCTGTGGGTGCTCCACTTCAGGTGACTTAGGATGGTTGGGACTTCGGATCCGGCAAGAAGGCTGTTAACAAGACAGCTCTACCCATTCTGGTGTCGGACGCTGCAGCGTGGATGAGAGCGTAGTGATTGGCGAAGGGAAGGTTCAATGCCCAGGTAGCTGCCTTACATATGTCAGACAGCAGAACATTATGGAGAAAGGCCGTGGAGATGGAGACAGCTCTAGTAGAGTGTGTCCTAATTGATGTAGGAGGGTGTATTTGCCTCAGTTGGTAACAAAGGCGTATGCAGTCAGCAATCCATTTGGAAAGTCTCTGTGTAGAGATAGCATTTCCCTGTGAGCACTGAGTAGTGGAGACAAAAAATCAGGGGGATTTTCTAAACGGTTTTGTTCTATCCAGGTAAAAGGACAGTGCTCTGCGAACATCAAGAGTGTGCACTGCTGTTTCAAAGGCATTAGTGTGAGGTTTTGTGGAAAATGTTGGTAGGTGTATAGGTTCATTGAGGTGAAAGGAAGAGTGTATTTTAGGTAGGAACTTTGGATGCGTGTGGAGTGCGACCTTATCACGGAAGAATGTGGTATATGGAGGGTCTGCCATAAGCACTCCCATTTCTCCTACTCGTCTGGCAGACATGATTGCTAT